GAGCTGACCCTTATTTTAATTTTCTAAAATAAACATTAGAATAAACGTGGCCACAAAACTCGAATTGGCCCTTCATAAAACACATCAAATCATTCTTATCGAAAATAAAATCTACTTTTATCATTCAATTGGTGGCTTTCGTGCGGCTGTTGAAGATAGATTCGAACATAATATTATGATTCCTTATAATAATCTCTTTAATCATGTAGGAAAAGTTGTAAATACTACAGCTACTGCAATTCATGAAAAAAAAGTTATTGTTAATACCAATACTGAATGAGGACCTCGCATAACATTTGAATACTTGGCAATTGCTACCGGCTCTAATTTCTCTAAACCTATAAGGGTGGTAGCAAATAATGAAAGAAGGCGTTCCTGAAATAGTTGCTCAAAGAAAAGCTGTGAAAAACGCGAACAAGATTTTGATCATTGGTGGCGATCCAGTAGATATTGATATGTTTTAGCATACTGTTATTAATAATTTTAAAACTGTCAAAATTTTCTGCATAATATATTAATATTATCCGTATTAATTTATCAGTTATTATCTTCATATATCTTTAATTAGAACTTGGTGAAATTGAATCAGTTTATAGTGACAAAGAAATTACACTTGTTCATTCGGAAGAACGTTTGCTTCCGGAACAATTTTCAAGAAAATGACAGACCTTGCGAAACAATTGAGAGAATTAAATGAAAACCTTATTTTTGGTGAAAAAATTATTTTTCCTTCTTCTGGTATTGGTGACGGTTTGTTTTCCTTAACACTAGAAACTAATAAGGTAAATATTTAACATATATTTTCATTCTTTATATAATACTGTATTATCTGTGAAACTCAATTTATCTTTTTTTTTTTTTTATTGGGTAAATGAATTGATTCTGACATCCAATTCGTAGCTTTTGGCACAAAGCCCAACACCAAAGTTATAGAAACCTTGGACAAATCATTGATTGAAAAAGATACCGCTTTAGTAAAAGTTAAACCAACTCTTCAATTAGACCATGATAATAATGCACATATCTTTGTTCTCGGGGACATAAAAATATTAAAGAAACAAACTTGCTTATCGTGTTAACCTTCATGCTGATGTTGTAGCTAAAAATATTATTAAGAACAAAAAATTTAATGAATATAACCTTGGTCATGAAGTTATGATTATTCCCATTGGAAAGGTATAATTTTTTTTTTTATGATGCTATTTACTTTGTTTGCTAAATTTATTTATTCTAATGTTTATTTTAGAAAATTAAAATAAGGGTCAGCTCTTCTACTAATGAGTAACGTGGTCCTTGGTAGTTTCATAGCGAAAAATCTAAAAGGTAAAACTCTTATGGTCGATAAAATATGATAAGAATTGAATGCAACACCTGTTGCATAAATGTATTTATTCTTATTTATATTATTACTCACATACCATATTCAATATCTTTTTAGTTTAAGTTAGTTAAATCTTGTGTTAGTCGAATAGAATAGTTTAACAAAAATATATATTTGCCATATTACGACTATTAAAAAAACTATTGTGTATACAAAATTTTTAATATTTATATTTACTATTCTAGCGTGCATACAATATATATTTTGAAATCTAAACTACTACATCACATTGTTAATAAAGGCGTTAAAATTTCATAATAATAATTCATATGATTGGCCATAATTGTCAAATTAATTTTACATAGTCTATCAAGGTTAAAGTACTTTTTGAAAAAAACCAATGGAAAGTTTTATTTAGGAAACAGGATTCTATTGTATAGTAAAAAAAAAAAAGCTTAGGACGTAGTAATTTTTAGAAACAGATAAGGTGAAGTTACTGCTATGCTAACTTTCTAAAAAGTGAGTGTTAAAGATGTCTTATTACAATAGAGTCTTGTAATCCCAATAAAACATCTATATATTTCTTGGTTACATCTCATTTTCCCTACGATCATTTCCTCTACCATTTATTCGACATCACATGGGATGGCAAATTACTAACAATATATACTCGCAAATGCTAAATTGCCGCTTGCTTGATATCGAGTAAATGGATACTTAGGCCGTTTGAAATTAAAATTTCGTTTAACGCTATTTTTTTCGCACTTACACAGGGTATTAAACAAACATAAAAATTAAACATAGTGTACCGAAAATTCCGGCGGCCAAGATGGCTATTCTATCGATTAATCTTTTACTTCTATTTGCTTAATTTTGGGGGATCTCGGGAGACAGAGGGGGGATAACGTTAAACGAAAAATCAATTTCAAACGGCCTTGACTAATAGCTTAGATGAGCTTGATAAATATTCAAAATATAACCAATTAGATAAATGTATTGAAAATGTTAAATACAGTAAAAGAACATAGTAACTATAGTACATATTGTAAATACGTTGCACGTGGGAATGGTAATATTGCAGATTTAGAATCCACTTAAATTTTGAATAAACATAGGTCGACTATTGGCCGATTTGTTGCTAAGGTATTTGAAAAGAAATTCATCAAATTCATTACGAGATAAAAAAGGGATAACCTTAAGATTCATCATCAGATAGATAGAATTTAAGGAATGAAAAAGAGAAATAAAAAAAAAACGTAATAAAACTTTGCATTTAAATATTTATTACACTATAGGATATAATTTACTTTAGCTATTATCCTGTCAATCGATTACTCATTTATTATAGTATCAATTTTAAATCAAGCTTAAGCTGCTTTAGATTTCGTATCGGCCTAAGTTACGTTTAGAATTCTGTTTTAACCAAAGTAGATTCTAAATCCGTTCCAAGGTACGACAAAATAAGAAGTATAATAAATATGTTACACATGCTAGCTGTGTTAAGTAGAATAACTATATTATCTGCATTTATAATTTAATTGTTGAGTATGAGAACTATAATATCCTTGTTAATATAACTAATAATTAGATATAGAGGCATAATGACAATATAATTAATTAAATTAAAAAGCTCTGAACAAAGCTCAACATAATAATGTTAGTTTTAAATAGTACAGAAATTTGTATGCCATTAGAATTTCCACCAATGTTTCTATATAGCTTTTGGTCGTGCCTTATTCAGCTTTATTTTAAACACTTTATTCGCCTTGTCTCTACATTTTTATGTTCCGGCCACTTTTTCGGCCGGATTTGAACTCTACATATTATTACCGTATTTCAAGACAATGTTTATTGATTATGTCATATTGCAAACTTAAAGTTTTAATTAAGACTCATAATCATACAGATACAAGCTATAGATTTCGCTGCTCATCTTCAGCTAACTAATATTTAGATAACAAAGTAAAATAATAGAACAATTTTTTATTTAATTAAGATTAATATTTCATTAAAATTCTTTATTTAATGAAATAGAATTCAAATACATAAAGCTAGCTTTGTACTATTTATTTGCTGGTCTTAACTATTTTTTTAAGTCTATTATCCAGATCTCAGCTTCGAGTTGGTACAGATATCTTTTTTTATTCGATAAAATATTACACCGGATCAGGCTAGAGATGTTATGTGGTTTGGTCTAAACTGATGGACCACAGTTAGTCTTAAGACCGGTCTAAAGCAGAAAAAATTGTTCTGCTCTTAGTCTTAACCAGACCGGTCTGGACTGGTCATTCTTAAGACTGTAGACTATTAAAAAACTGGACCAAGACTGGACAAAAATAGATCATATGTTACCCAAACAAATAAAAGCAACCAAAACATTGAAAAAAATAATTTTTTCGGACTAAAATGAAATTGCTTCTATTGGGATCTAATTTTACTATTAATGCATAATAAAGCCGTTCAAAGTTGATTAGTTGTTTAATGTCAACATTATGAGCTCAGGTTCGAGGGGTTGGAGGAGAAATTTAAATAAACACATATACAACACAGAATATTTGATTAAATCTCATTGGTCAACCTTAATCACATGGTTACTTTGCAGAAACTTGTTTTTTTGCTAAATATTTTTGTAATATAATTATTAT